GTTTTGATTTGCATTTCTCTAATGATTAATGATGTTGAGCATTCATTCAAGTGTTTGTTGGCAATCTGTATATCTTCTTTGGAGGAATGTCTATTTAGGTCTTCTGCCCATTTTTGGATTGGGTTCTTTGTTTTTTTGCTATTGAGCTGCATGAGCTGCTTGTATGTTTTGGAGATTAATCCTTTGTCAGTTGCTTCATTTGCAAATATTTTCTCCCATTCTGAGGGTTGTCTTTTCATCTTGTTTATGGTTTCCTTTGCTGCGCAAAAGCGTTGAAGTCTCATTAGGTCCCATTTGTTTATTTTTGTTTTTATTTTCATTTCTCTAGGAGCTGGGTCAAAAAGGATCTTGCTGTGATTTATGTCATAGAGTGTTCTGCCTATGTTTTCCTCTAAGAGTTTGATGGTGTCTGGCCTTACATTTAGGTCTTTAATCCATTTTGAGTTTATTTTTGTGTATGGTGTTAGGGAGTGTTCTAATTTCATTCTTTTACATGTAGCTGTCCAGTTTTCCCAGCACCACTTATTGAAGAGGCTGTCTTTTCTCCACTGTATATTCTTGCCTCCTTTATCAAAAATAACGTGACCATATGTGTGTGGGTTTATCTCTGGGCTTTGTATCCTGTTCCAATGATCTGTATTTCTGTTTTTGTGCCAGTACCATACTGTCTTGATTGCTGTAGCTTTGTAGTATAGTCTGAAGTCAGGGAGCCCGATTCCTCCAGCTCCGTTTTTCTTTCTCAAGAATGCTTTGGCTATTCAGGGTCTTTTGTGTTTCCATACAAATTGTGAAATTTTTGGTTCTACTTCTGTGGAAAATGCCAGTGGTAGTTTGATAGGGATTGCATTGAATCTGTAGATTGCTTTGGGTAGTAGAGTCATTTTCACAATGTTGATTCTTCCAATCCAAGAACGTGGTAAGTCTCTCCATCTACTTGTATCATCTTTAATTTCTTTCATCAGTGTCTTATAATTTTCTGCATACAGGTCTTTTGTCTCCTTAGGTAGGTTTATTCTTAGATATTTTATTCTTTTTGTTGCAGTGGTAAATGGGAGTGTTTTCTTAATTTCACTTTCAGATTTTTCATCATTAGTGTATAGGAATGCCAGAGATTTCTGTGCATTAATTTTGTATCCTGCTACTTTACCAAATTCATTGATTAGCTCTAGTAGTTTTCTGGTAGCCTCTTTAGGATTCTCTATATATAGTATCATGTCATCTGCAAACAGTGACAGCTTTACTTCTTCTTTTCCAATTTGGATTCCTTTTATTTCTTTTTCTTCTCTGACTGCTGTGGCTAAAACTTCCAAAACTATGTTGAATAAGAGTGGTGAGAGTGGGCAACCTTGTCTTGTTCCTGATCATAGTGGAAATGGTTTCAGTTTTTCACCATTGAGGACGATGTTGGCTGTGGGTTTGTCATATATGGCCTTTATTATGTTGAGGAAAGTTCCCTCTATGCCTACTTTCTGCAGGGTTTTTATCATAAATGGGTGTTGAATTTTGTCGAAAGCTTTCTCTGCATCTATTGAGATGATCATATGGTTTTTCTCCTTCAATTTGTTAATATGGTGTATCACGTTGATTGATTTGCGTATATTGAAGAATCCTTGCATTCCTGGAATAAACCCTGCTTGATCATGGTGTATGATCCTTTTAATGTGCTGTTGGATTCTGTTTGCTAGTATTTTGTTGAGGATTTTTGCATGTATGTTCATCAGTGATATTGGCCTGTAGTTTTCTTTGTGACATCCTTGTCTGGTTTTGGTATCAGGGTGATGGTGGCCTCGTAGAATGAGTTGGGGAGTGTTCCTCCCTCTGCTATATTTTGGAAGAGTTTGAGAAGGATGGGTGTTAGCTCTTCTCTAAATGTTTGATAGAATTCGCCTGTGAAGCCATCTGGTCCTGGGCTTTTGTTTGTTGGAAGATTTTGAATCACAGTTTCAATTTCAGTGCTTGTGATTGGTCTGTTCATATTTTCTATTTCTTCCTGGTTCAGTCTCGGAAGGTTGTGCATTTCTAAGAATTTGTCCATTTCTTCCAGGTTATCCATTTTATTGAAGGCCACATTCTTAAAATAAACTTAAGAGAAACAATATAAGTGTCAAATAAAAAAATAAAGATAGCCATCCTCTCTCAAAGGGTGGCAAAAGTGATCACAATATAATCAGGAAATCCTCAGGCATAATTTTTTTTCTAATTTAACACTCCATAGTGAACATATAAGTTGGGGAATTTATTTTCAAATGATAAATTTGATGTTTGCAGAAAATATACTATTCTGGAAGAACTAGACTTTTTTGTGCTTTAATGAGAGTGAAAAGATTATTTTCTAGAAGCTTTAGGTCACAAATAATCAAAGGAAGGAAAGGAATTCTTGGAAGGTCATGTTCAAGGATGCTTTCTCTATGTTAATTGAATGTATCAAAGCTGCCCTGGGTCACTGTGAAGTCAAAGCCTTATTTTAGATATGAGAACTGCGGCTCTCGAAGTTTGGATACTATCAGAATTGTTTTGGTGTGCTGATATCTGAGACTTCTGGGCAGGAAATTTCTTACGTAGATGTGGTACTAGGACTAGGCTCTATGGAGAGCTACTCTATGTTTTATGTTAATCCTTTGGATTTGGCATATCAAAGAATACCTGTAAAATAATAAGCAGGTGACTTTATTTCCTAGTAATTGACATTGAACATATATAAATCCTGAAACAGATTAATTTCAGACCTTTTTCTCATAGCAGTTGTACAAAATAAAACACCAATTTAAAAATAAAATTGCTTGACAAACCTTAGGGTGTGTCTTTGGTGAGTTGTAATTTATATAGATGAATTTCCATATTTCTGCTTACATTAAATACCATATTGTACAGACTTTCAAATACAGAGAAAAATGTCTTACTTGGACACAATAAAAATGAATAATAGGGGCCTTTTGCTTATATTTCACACCCATTTGAACAAAGTCATGTTTGTGCATTTAACACTTTATTTTCTGAAAATATTATACGTTATCTAGACAAAGAACTCTACAAAACCTTAGTATATCTTGAAGAGACTTGCAAAGGAAATATTTCTATATTTTTTCTCCCTCTTTCTATGAATTTCTATGGTTTATAAACATCAGTGACAGTTCAAAACTTGAAGCACTGTGAAAAAATTACTCCCTTTTGGTAGTAAGAAGTTTTTTGGCATAAAAATGCATATTTAAAATATCTGATTAAACTATTATAACTATCCAAATCTTACCTATGTAAAGCTCTTAGAACTCACCTGCCACAGAGGAAGTGCCCCATAAGGATTAGCTGTAATCACGCATTCTTCAAGAATCAGCTCTAAAGCCATGAGGGATACCTTGATTGACCATACATCCCTGTTGTGTCATGGCCTTACTTTGGCCAGAATTGGGAATCAGCTTTTTTTTAAAAAGCCAGTTTGATGAGCAAACTCTATATTTCAGTGTTTTAGTTCAAACCATTTGTGTGTCCTTTTCTGTGAATTGCCTATTTCATGGCTCTTGTCTATTTCTTTATTGGTATGTTAGTTGTTTTTTTCATTTGAATCATTATTTATATATTAATGATTTAACACTTTATATGATATTTTATTGCAAGTATTTTCACCAATTTGTCCTTTTCCTCTTTTAAAAATATATTTATTTATTTTCATTTTTGGCTGCGTTGGGCCTTCAGTGCTGCGCGTGGGCTTTCTCTAGTTGCGGCAAGTGGGGGCTACTGTTCATTGCGGTGGCTTCCCTTGTTGCAGAGCAGAAGCTCTAGGTGCACAGGCTCTAGAGCGCAGGTTCAGTAGTTGTGGCTCATTGGCTTATTTGCTCTGCGGCATGTGGGATCTTCCCTGACCAGGGCTTGAACCCGTGTCCCCTGCATTGGCAGGCGGATTCTTAACAACTACACCACCAGGGAAGTCCCCTCGTCCTTTCCTTTTTAATCGATTTGTGTGTGTGTTTAACAGAAGGAGTAAGTTGTATACTCTCAAATCTATCTCTTTTGTGTGTGATAACTTGGGGGCAGTCTCTAGGGGTAGAGGTTGCTGGCCAGTCCTTACTTTACTATTCCTTAAATCCACAAAGGGCAGGACCAGTAAATGCAGATGTGAAATCTAGGGGAGGAGTCTAGGCTGGGAGTGTGTATCTGGATGTCACCTGTCTAGAGCATCATGGAAATATGGGTGTAGATGAATTCTTCTGTCGTAAGAATGGAAAGAGAGAAAAGAAAAGGAAACTGTGTTGGAATGTCTGTATTTGGGGAGTGAGAAGAGGAAAACGAGTTAGCAAAGCTGACCAGAAAGAGAAGATATTCAAAGAATCATGGACGGCCAAGAAGGCAAGAGACATAAGGTGACGGTCAACTGGTTAAGCCAGATGGATTTGGCAAGAGAAGCCAATGAAAAAGTCAAAATACAAGGAACAGAGGAGCAAAAAGGAGGCAAATAGACCAGCCTCTTTTCTATTCGGTCAAATGAGCACCATCTCCAAGAGCATATGAACATATTAAGACAAAACCCCAAATCATACTTGTATGTACAACATGATCTTAAATCCTCTGTAGTTTACTTATGCCCTCCCTCATTTCCTCTACTGTAATGATTTTTTATAGTTCCATACCAACGAGCAAAGGAAAAATTTTATAGGGAATTCGCACTCAACTTTAATGCCCCCCCTCCGTGCCCAGGAATGATGTTAACGAGCTGATGCTTCATCCTACAACATTTTATTATAATCAGTAAAATTACTTAACCGGCTTCACTGCGATAGGGAACAGGGGGAACTCTGGGAAAAGTGGGACCCCTTGGAGGTCAACAATGTACTGTAAACTAAGGAGCAGTCTCAACCTTCAGAGTGGAGGCCTGACCTCGCCGGAGGATGGAAACGGGGCTGCCTGGCTCACCTCCCCACGTTTTGTTTCTTATCCCTGTGGCTTGTGTGCAGACAGTTGCTCTGGTCACATGCCTAGCATTGTCTGCATTTGTTTTTCCCTGTCAGGGAGCAGAAAGAAAAATCCGAGATGAAGAGAGGAAGCAGAACAGGAAGAAGGGGAAAGGCCAGGCCTCCCAAACCCAGTGCAACAACTGTGAGTGTGGCTGCGAAGGGGTAGGCTTTGTCTGGGCCAGGTCCACTGGGGAATGGGTGAAAAGAAGTGGGTTGCGGGTAAAATATGGGCATGCAAGGGATGGCTTGCTTTTCCCTAGCAGTGGAGAAGGGGCGAGCTGTCCCTGTTAAACGTAAATAGAATCACATGATCACAATGTTCGAACTGGGAGGGATTTTCTAATGTCAAGGAGACCAACATCCTCCTTCTCCAGACAAGGAATCTAGGGCACAGAGAGGGACAGGAGGGCAAGAGGGGACCGGAGCTCCCCCTCAGGAATGCTCACGCCAAGTCCACTCTCTTTCTGCTGGTTTGGTGATGGGAGAGGGGAGGCTTTTAAAGTGTGTTCACATCTATGGTGTTTGGGAATCTTCATAGGAGACAATCATGAACTTTAGCTAAGATTAGATCTTACAGGTGAGAGTTTAGTCATTCACAACCCTCTCACTTATGGGTTCTGTGATTGTGTCCAGCCTCTGATGGGAAGTTGGCAGCGATACCGTTACAGAAGAAGAGCGACATCACCTACTTCAAGACAATGCCTGATCTGCACTCCCAGCCCGTCCTCTTCATACCCGATGTTCACTTTGCAAACCTGCAGAGGACAGGACAGGTATGGCCTCCCTGCTAACATCTGCCTGCCATCCATTCACTGGGCTGGTAGAGCCTTAAGACAGCATCACTTCAGGCACTGTTGATCTTAAAAATAAAACCCATGAATTCAACAAAAAGCCAGCTCTTCCCTACAGAAAATGGAATTTTATAGAAAGGAATGTCTCAGGAGAGGAAACCAACTTACTAAGGGGAAGGTGAGAGTGAGCTGATAATCTCGAAGTGTTGACAAAGCAATGAAAGAGGAAGAAAGTAAGAAGGCTGATAACCTGTAAGAAAAGTTTTGTTTTGTTAGTTTTGTCATGTGGGATCCACCTGATGCGATGGAGCTCCATCTAATGGTGGGAAATTGAACTGCACCCATAACTTTAGAAAGTTGCCCAAGAGGAAAAATTCTTTGATTAAATAAAACTCTATCAACAATTTTTCCCTTAGTAAATTAACAGTTTCCATTGAATAGGTAAATAATTTCACACCAAGAGAAAAATGAGATTGTAGACAAGCCTTTTAAAAAAAGTTCCTGTCTTTTAAGTATATCTATAAGTGAAATTATAGAAATAATATTATAATATAAAGATCCAATAATTAACTCGTTATGGTAGCTCAAGTTGATGAAATGTTATGCAGCCACCAGAATTATATTTATGAAAACTATGTAGCAACATAGGAACTCATTACGATAATGTTCAGAGGGGAAAAAAGTACAATAGCCATTTGTATCTATACTGTGATTCCAAATATATACCTGAATTTGAACAAGACAAATTGTAATACTTGATGAGTAGGGTTAGGAGATGGATGATTTTTTGTAATGTCTTTAGTATTCTTTTTTTTATGTCATGAATTAAAATTGTGTGAGATAATTACTTCCCCAGCATTAGCCAGAATTGTCTTTCACCAAACCAGTTGGGTTTAGTGACTCTTGTATTGATTAGTTTTCTTTTAAACACAGAGTCCTCTGAGGAAAGGTCTGTTGAGAAATAGGTGCATAATGACACATTCCAGTTTTTCTTCCATCCTAAGTGTTCAGACACTCATTAGAACTGACCTTAGTCTAGGAGCAGAAATTATTATCAGCTTAACTTTCTGTTTCTGGAGAATAATCTGTGTATGAGACAAAGCAGTTGTACAACCAGGGCTTTTTTTTAAAGTTGCTGTTTTTGACACAACATGGCAATAAAATACCCATAGTTTTTTCTTAGAGTGCATTCCACTAAAATGTAGCATTCCCATCTTGTCTTACTTGTTTGATAGGAAAAGGACACAAAGAAGAAAGGAAGAATATTATGATTTATTAAGCTATGAGGGCCAGCACCTATTTTTATTATTTTTAATTCCCAAGAACATGATGGTGATTTGTGTATTTACAGTCTTCGTAAACACATGGGATTTTTTGAAGCTAGGTGTCCACACCTTCCAGGAGAGAGGGGGAAACTGAGTTAAATTGCTCTTATTGTTTACTGGTGGGATTCTGGCTTCAGCCCGGTGTCAAAACTGACAGCCTGACCTGTTCTCTTGGCAAGATTTCTCTGAAATACACAAAGCTGTAAATGAATCCTAAGAGGAAAAGTGACCAAATCTGACTGCTCGTGACTGTCAGTCCTCTGGCCTCACTTGCTCCCTCCGTGTCCTGAGCTGGGCTCCTAGCCTGTGCCTGAATCAGAAGGAACGTGTAGCCTTTACCGTGGGTTGGTTGCAGCAATTTGCAAAGCAGCCCGATCAGCGTCCCCTGGGGCATTGCGAAGTTAAGTCCTGCTGTCTGGGGCTGTTCTTGAAGAGCCTCAGGCTTCGCCTGTGGCCTTGGAGTCAGAGTTAAGGGGCTCAGTTAGGGAGCCTGCCTGGGCTTCAGGCAACAAAGGAACACACTCTTCTGTGCTCTAGAACAATGGGTGAATGTCCTGTGGTTGATCAACTTGCTTGGCCGAAGGAAAGGAGCGCCTACTGTGTAGCTGGCTGGAACTTTAAAGGCTGCCTTTTCTTAGAAAAGCTGGGAGCCTTGGGAGATGGATCCAGAGGCAGGAGGGAAGAGGGCAATGCCGTGGCATGAGAAGTGGGCATGGGACAGGGCTTGGCTGACTTTGACAGGCAAAATGAGAGCTAGTTGTGGCAGATCAAAAGCTGGGCCAGTTTTACCATAAGGGAGCAGGGGCGGGTAGGGGAGGAAGGGCCATGGTACCCACTGCAGGCGTGAGCCTGGTAAAATCAGCCACGTGGCAGCCCTGCACGACCGCGGAGCTAGCAGCTGTTTAGCTTTCATGGTCGGTGAGCACTCCGAGCCACGCTGAAGGCACCTCAGGTCTGGTCACGTGGCCTGGGGAGCAGGCTTTTCACTATCAGCCCACATGTCCCCTGCTCCCTCATTATCTCACTGATTCACTTGTGGGTTGGTACATTCACCAGACGGTTATCAAAACCTCCTATGAGGGCATGAACCCAACGTGCAGGCTCTGTGGAGATCTTCAGTCTCCCTCTCCTCGCACTGAAGTCCTGATACGCACTGTGGCTTCTGTCGGGAATGCCTTTAAAAAGAAGTGACAAGGGGAGCTTGGAGAAATTGTGGGAGGCAGAGGCATTATCCCACTGGATAACATGTACTTGGCGGGTATGAGCCTTCCTCAAGCCACCTGAACACAGGGAGGACATCATTCCTCCCTCACACCCTCAAGAACCGTCTCCCCACTTGTGGCTTGTAAACCCTCGATCCCCCAGATCAGAGGCATTCTTTTTTTTTTTTTTTTGCGGTACGCGGGCCTCTCACTGCTGTGGCCTCTCCCGTTGCGGAGCACAGGCTCCGGACGCGCAGGCTCAGAGGCCGCGGCTCACGGGCCCAGCCGCTCCGCGGCATGTGGGATCTTCCTGGACCGGGGCACGAACCCATATCCCCTGCATCGGCAGGCGGACTCTCAACCACTGCGCCACCAGGGAAGTATAGGCATTCTTGATAAGAATGCAGGTTCCCAAGTTCCATTCCAGGCCTTTCAAATTAAAATCTCTGAAGGGGGACTCTGGGAATTTGCATTTATGAGAAGTTCTCCAGATAGTTTTTATGCACTCTAAAGTTTGAGAAACACTGTCTAAAAATTAAATTCGTGCAATAAGCCCTACAGCCAACCAGGAAGAAACAGTGGGTCATTACATGCGAGGAGAAATGACAGTGCAAGGAGGTGATAGGGACGGTGCGGCAGAGGCTGCTCAGGAGGCCAGGAGGGCACTTAAGAGAAGGCTGCTTCCAGCTTTGGGTCACCCGTCACCTTTGCAGAGAGCTGTCCATTACCCTACCAGGGTGGTGCAGCAGAGTGGATGTATTATGCCACATTTAAAGAAACCAGCAAAAGACAAGCCAACATCAGGAACCTTTCCTCCACATCCAGTTGTGTGTCCAGTGCTATGGCTCAGGCTCCCTTGCTTATGTGGGTCACTCTATATGCATCTAAATAGACAGTCCCATTACTAGCACATGTCAGTGCTCTGATGCCACACTGAAACGTGGGGTCTGGGGAGGAAACGTGTTACCTTCATTGTTCTCTGTTTAAGAAGAAACAAAGTATACAGTACAACCATAGACATTAAAAAGTTTAAGAGGAAAAAGTTCCCTGTGGAAATCCGAGCTAATGTCTAGAATGACTCATTCCCAAAGAGTTCCAGGTAACCAGCTTTGTTATACAACTAAGTTTGGGTTTGGCAGCATCCCAGGAACTGCCACGAGCCTTTGAGAAAGTTTCCACGGAGAGTGTCAGTCTAGACACAGCTGTTTCTCTCCCAGGTGGCTGCAGCAGGGACAGTGAAGAAATGGACTAGAGCCAGAGGTGACTTTGAAGTTAATGTGTGAATGTTGGATACTAACTTGAGTTTCATTCTTCACCCAAATGGAAATGGTCCTGCAGCACATAGTTAAAGCTCACAAAAGGCCCACAATTAATTGTCATAAATAATTGGATGAAGAGGACTTAGCATACATAGCGGGTACCCTCTGGATTTCCAGAGTTGCATAAAATAAGGATGCTTCATAATGTCTTTAAATCTGATTCTGCCTGCTGCCATGCTGGCCACCAAAAGAAGTGTCTTTTCCTTCTGGCCAGAACACCTCCTAGAGCTAAATGACCTTTCCTGGCCGGAGGGTAGTTGACGCCTAGATTTTTGTGGTCGTGGGATGCCAGGGTAACCCAGGTCCCTTTGGGGAAAAAACAGAGGCCTGGGGTTACTGCCGTGGGGACTTCCTGTTCTGCTCTCTTCTCCAAAGCACTCTGTCTGGAGTCAGCTCTCCTGTGGACTGGATGGGATTGGTTACTCACAGGCCCTGCTCCAAGGCCTTTGTAAACAATGATTTTTAGATCTTGCTAAAATATTTCCTTAATGTCAAAAGCAAGATTTGGCTTAGGGCTATAGGTAATCTGATTTCCAATTTTAGTTCATTAAACTCTTAAGAATTAACCCTAGGGAGACTGTGAAGAGGTTAAATTTGTATTTCCTCAGACACACATGTGCAGCATCATTAAACAGATTTGTCTTTTGTCTTTTTTGAGACAGCGTAATGCCTTAGGAAAGTCTGTGCATCATGTAACATATTTCCGTTCCTTGTGTCCAGCCTACAGTAAGCCTGTTGTTTTGCTCCACAGGTGTATTACAACACGGATGATGAACGAGAAGGGTAAGACACTCGGTCTTTTCACTCAAGCACCCAAAGTCAGTGTATGTCAGTAGAAATGGGTTTCCAAGCACAGGGTAATGGGGCAGGGAGTGAGAATGTCTGCTCAGCCTCCAGACTCAGAGCTAGGAGAGGCTTGACTCTGGGGATTGTCTGGAAGGAGGCTGGGGAATGCCATTCTCCTTCCAGGCAGATGGAGCACAGTGTACTGCATCCTTGATAGGTGGTCAGCCAGCTTCTACTTGAATGTTCCCAGTGATGGGAATATTCTGATACTCATCATACTGTTGGCCAGTTCCAGCTCCAGGAAGTTTGTCTGTTGAACTGATGTCTGTCTTCTTTTGACCCATTGGCTCTATTTCTGCTCTCTGGATAAGTCTCAACCTTTCCTCCTCATTCAAACATAGTTTTACCTCTCAACCCTGGAGGGGGTACCGCCAGATTTGTTAACAGTCTCCTTAAAGCTGGCTCTCAGAAATACACATATTCTTGAACCACATGAGTTGGAGATTATATTGGGATAATTTCTTCTTATGACCTGGATACTGTTTTTCTCTTAAAGCAATCTAGATCTACGTTCATTTTTCATCTACATAACATTACTTACATACAACTAAAGTCTTGGTTTGCATTAATTACATGTGTATAACTTAACTCTCTAGATCACTGGTTTTTCAAACTATAGTCAAACCAGGGCTTCCCTATTCTTCCCTATGCAATTAACATATTTACTTGTAAAACATTTCAAAGTGAAGTAAGTGGAGCAGGTATTCTTGAGCTCATTTCCTAGAGCAGAGCTCAGGGAACTATAGCCTAAGGGCCAAATCAAGGCCCAATACTTTTTGTACTGTCTGCAAACATTTTTAAATGGTTGAAAAAATCCCAAAGAAGAATAATATTGCATGACACTTGAAAACTATGAGATTCAAGTGCCCACAAATGAAGCTTAATTGGAATACAGCCGCATTCATGCCTTCGTGCCTTGTCTCTGGCTGTCTTGGTGCTACCACAGCAGAGCTGAGTACAGAGACGCTGCTGTAGTTGCAAGCAGAGACCGTCCGTCTAGCCTGGAAAGCCCAAATATTTACTTTACAGAAAAAGTGTGCCACCCTCTAAAGGATAGAGCATCTCAAAAGAGCCTAATAATTCCCTAATTGGTTAGGAACAGAGCCTTGTCCAGGATTTGACCTCTAAATTCTGAGTTCCAAATTTTCTAAATACATAATTAGATTGTTCTTTTTGTCTTGGTACAGAGGCAATATATTCCAGTGGTGGGAATGAACAGAGACGCTTAGCACGAGCAATTGTAATCTGTTGTTCACATAGTTTACAAAGGACAGGGTGGTGTCACGGAAAGAACGTTGACTCTGAGCTGAGGAAGCCCGCGTTCTACTCCCGGGCTGCCGCTCACCAGTGTGAAGCCTGGGGCCACCTCCCGGACCTCTGGGCTTCGGTGTCCTCCATCGTAAAATGAGGATTTTGTATAAGACGATCTGTAAGATCTCTTGTGAGAAAATTGAGTGTTATGAATAAGAAATGCCGGGGACCTAAATGCTCTTGCATGTGCAGGCTGCGCTTGTGAATCTCCCTCAGCCTAACTGCCCTTCCCTGCAAGTCGGCAACATTTAGGTGGCTAATTGACCTACTTTTACCTCTTTTGGCCTGGCCTCTCTGTAACAATTCCCCTCTTTTATTGCAGAATCTTGAGGCCTGAGGCCCAAGGCTCTTACTCTTAACCATCTTCTAATTAGAGTTCGATTGAGCAATATGGGCGGCCTTGGAGCCCAGTGTTAACACATAGTAGGACTTGGCTATGGTTACATGTAAAAGTGGTAATCAACAGTCACTGGATACCTTGGCTAGGCACTGTCCTAAGTGCTTTCTATGGATTATTTTATTGGATTCTTCCAAAATTCCCATAGGGAAGATGCTATACTTACTTCTACTTTATAATGAGGAAACTGAAACTTCAAAAGATCAAGAAACTTCTAAGCCGCACAGCTGGTGAGTGACAGAGGCAGGATTTGAACCTGGGTCTAGCTGCACTCCCATCGCCTGCCTTTAGCCATCACGCCCCATCACCTAACCCTCGTAATTCTTGATCTGTGGCTGCCAAGGAAGCATCCAGAGACAGGCCCTCATCGTGATGGCTCTCTGGCCTTGACAAAGGCACACCGTTTGGATTTTCGGACCCAGGTTGTGACAAGCCTAGGAGAGTGTACCTGGCGGAGGGGGTCAGTCCACCGAGCCCTGGGGAGAACCACCTTCATGGGCATTCGCTTAGCCTTCATCAGATCAGGACTGTCTGGCCAGTTCTCTCTCCCTGCCAGGCATAAATCAGTTAGTATTAAAGCATCTAACTGAGTGTTGGAGAGCGTCATTCAGGCAGCCACCAGCTGGAGGACACAGCTGCCCAGGTGCACCAGGGCCCTCTCCCGACTACTCCAAAGCTGGAGTGGTGGCCAGACACGGACTTGTTCATGAGGAGGAGAGCTTTTTGGCCTGAAGTGCCGGCAAACCTGAGTGCAATTAAAGAGAGAAACTAGAGAAAATTCGGATGAGGTGGGATGGGGAGCCATCATCAGCCAAGTACCTAAACTAAACAAAAAGAGGAACACCTATTTGCTCCTGCCTCCCTGTCCAGTGATAAGTATTTGGGGTGACTTCTGGTGCTGAATTTGGGGATCACAGACCCCATGCAGGCTTGTTTCCTAGGCAGGGGCTACAACAGATACAGAGGCTTTTGGACACCATCTCTGAGCAGCAGGTCTCTCGCTGCATATCAGAATCAAGCTGGGGAGTTAAAAAAATACTCACATACAGGGACCGTCTCCGGGGATTTTGACTTAATTGGCAGATGGGTGCAGCTCAGGCATGGAGACCTTTTTAAAGTCTCCAGGTGATTCTAATGCACGCAATGTTTGAGAACCACTGCTCTAGAGCCAGTCAGCCATGATTTGAGTCTTGCATTGATCTTACAAGCTGTGTAACTTAAGATAACAACCTTTTGGGGCCTCAGTTCCCTCATCTAAAAATAGCAAATATTAATACCTACCTGCTAGAATTATTAAAAGCATTAATACGTAAAGTGCCCTGACACATGGAAGATGCTTTCAAAAAACAGAGCTATTATTGTTGCCAAGGTTCCTTTTCAGGCCCTAAATAAATGATACTTCATTGAGAAATGGAAGAGAGGAAGATGAAGAAAAATGGAAAGAAAAACCAGACAGACCAGGGATTGAACCCAGGCCCACGGCAGTGTAAGCACCGTTTTAACCACTGGACCACTGGGGAATTTCCAGGCCCACCCCCTTTTCAATTGATGTATTTTTATTTTTACTGTTAGATATTGCAGTTAAAAAATCCACCCAGTAATACTCAAATCTGCATCAGATATACAAGGAAGATTTTTAGAAAATATTTAAGGAAATGAAAATCATGTTTACCATCCCTCAGAGTAGCAGATTTTTATCAGTTTCTTACATTAGTACCAGTTATTCTTGCTTGTATACTAGTTAGCCATTTTGCAAATTAGAAGATTTGAACTAAAGACTCTTAGAACTAAGCTTTGCCTTCTTTTATAAATTTAACCTACATTTGCCCTCTCTGTTGCTCTTCATTCCTTCCTTTATTTCTCTGTTTCTCTTTGGGATCCTTTTCCTATTTTTTTTTTTTTTAAATTGAAGTATAGTTGATTTACAATGTTGTGTTAATTCCTAGTGTATAGCAAAGTGATTGTTATACATGGGATCCTTTTCCTATTGCCAGAAGAATTCTGTTTAATAATTCTTTTGTTGTGGAACTTTTGGCAAAGAATTCTCTCATATTTGTTTATTTGTTGTAAATGTTTTTATTTTGTAATCGCTTTTCTAGGGTATTTCTGTTAGGTATCAAATTCCAAGTTGGCAGTTACCTTCTTTCAGTTTTGGTTTCCATCATTTTTTGTTGAGAAGTCAGCTGTCTTATTGTTGCTATTTAAAATGTAATCTTTTCTTTCTTCCCTTCCTTCCTTCCATCCTTCCTTCCTTCCTCCCTTTCTTTTTTCTTTCATTTGGGAAAGACTGCTTTAAAATTTTTCTCTTCCTCTCAGGTTTTCAAATTTTTTATGATGTTTCTACGTGTGGGTTTTCTTTGTACTTTCTTTTTCCCCCTGCTTGGTATTTTATACCACTCATTGAATCTGTGGGTTGATGTCTTTCATCAGTTTTGGGACATTCTTGGCTGTTATCTCTTCAAATAGTGCTCTTCCCTGTTCTCTCCCCACTCCTTTGAGACTCTAAATGTGTATTAGAGTTTTTTATTCTGTCCCTGTGTTTTTTTATGTTCTTTTCTAAACTGTCCATCTTCTTTACTCACCATGCTCCAGCCTGGATATTTTCTATTGACCTAACTCTCAAATCCTCTCTTCTGCTAGGTTCAATATACTAAACCCATCTATTGAGTTATTAATTTTAATTATTGCACTTTTTAGTTCTAGGACTTCCACTTAATTGGTTTATTTTAATGAACTTCAATTCTAAATGTCTTGTCGTTTATTTTCATGAACATAATAATAACTGTGCTATAAGTATGTTATCTGGGTCTGTTTCTATTGTATGTTTTTCCCTTGGTCCTGTTTAATATTTGATAATCATTGAATGATGAACAATATACATAAAAATTATGGAGGCTCTGGATGACCATATTTTTCCTTATGAAGGTTTTCCCTATCCTCTGGTATGTAGCCTTAGTTAACAGATCACCATAACTGAGTCAGGGACAGAACTGACCCAAAGCTGGGTTGCAGTTTATTTTAACCTCAGATGACCTCTAATTCATCCTAACTCGTAGATTGTACCTTTGAGGGACTTTCTATGGGTCTTTTTCCTTCATGGAGCTTGAAGTTCAATTTTTGTCTCCTTAGCATGGGGAGACTACCCAAACCTCCTCTATGAGTTTCAAGGGCTTTCTGCTTAACTTCTTACTCTCTTATCCTGTGCAGCTTAAAAACTTGGCAAGTAACTGGGAAGGAATACTGCAGTGTCTGGCTTACTTCTCTGTGCTTCTCTACTCTCTGGAAGTTTTCCTGTTAGTCCTGAATAGCTTTGCAGCCCTAAACACCAATTTCTGTTTCTCTAACACCATAAGATTGCCAAAAGCTGTGCAGACTTCTCTGCCATTAAGTATGTGCCTCTGCTGAGATCACCATCCTCTACTCCCAGCTGAGAAATGGCAAATGCTTCGAGAGGAAAGTGGCCCACTGACTATCAGCTCACCTCTCGCATTTTTCTCCTCTGACATCTCAGCTCTCAGGTTCTGGCTGACTCAACAGTAGTGTCCAATACCGTCAATAAGATTAAATATATATATATATATATATATATATATATATATATATATATATTTACAGTTACTTACATTGTTCTTGGCTGGAACATTGCTTGGTTTGCCACAAGATACAACATCTTAGCCAGAAACAGAAATATCTGTATTTCCTCTTAAAATGATCCTTCTGGGGCCTACTGACCTAGTTATTTACTACTTTCAATTGTAAGCTCTTAACTACCATAATTATAAACATATGTGGGGTTTGTTTGTTGATTTTGGTTTGTGTTTACTGAGTGTGTCAGATGAACTTCTATCAAGACCCTGAACTAGCATCGATTAAAGTCATTTGGGGATGATAGGTTCTTCCCCAGAGTGATTTATTGTTGAAAATAAACTAATTGAGATTCTACTCCATAATGTGAAAGACTTTGTGAGGACTTGAACATAAGAGCACCTCCTCTTTTCTGAGGCTAACAACGGGTAAGGATGTTAATTTATTTAGGGCAGATGTGGTCATCAGCCTACACAGGCCGTAAGCAGAGTTGTGAACTAGATAAACCATGTCTCCATGGTGCCTGCACCTCCTTTCCATGCTTTATTTTGGTACCTCCTCACCTAGGTACTGATGCCTAGTGTGGTTCAGCCTGATAGGTAGGGCTCAACATTGCCAAGTATATCCAGAGACAGGCTTCAGATCCAAACACCTTCCCAGTTTTTCTTCTGATGAAACTTAGCCATCCTTTGTTTACACCTCAGGGACTTGCTTTCCCTGACATTGACCCCACAAAGCAATGATTTCGTATGTTGTTGGAACTGGAGTCCCTCTACATGTTAACATGTTGTGCCCATGGGATGGAGATTGATGTCAGAGAAAGCACCTTCTCCTTGTTCTTGTCCTTTTGGGCTACAAGCCAGTGCAATTGAACAGGACATTAGGAGACCTGAAATCCTTACTCTTTCTATCAATTGGGCAGTCATTTCTGCCCTTCTTTTCTCACCTTGCTTTAAGAAGAAGTGAAACCATTGAATTCAGACCACACAAGCTTATTGACTCCTACTGGGTTTATAGATTTGAAAGTGTGAAGAAACATTTCTGAACTCCCAAGAGAAATGTGGTTTATCCAAGATGTTATTTTAATGGCAAAGTTTGTCATGCTCAGAATGGGGTGCTGTCAAAAGTCAACAGACCTGGAAAAATGTAAATAAATCTTTCTTGAGAGAAAGAAAATCCCTAGTTTAGGAACCCTAACACAGCATGAAAGAGTGTCTGGTGACGTTTCAGGCTATTTACCCATTATTAACCTACTGGTCATTGACAGCAATGTCAATAGATTTTTAATCTTCTGCTCCCAGGGTCATGGTCAGTCCAGCTCCAAGACATGACAGAATAATATGACCTGCTTTTATAGTTTTAAAGAAAAGTGAGGGAAAGATAGAGGAAACAGTACTCTAAAAACCTATTACCACCTTCAGCTGGGACTTGAGTTTGAGTTTTTTTTCTGGCTATTTCCATAGTTTGACTTACTATGGAATAAAATAGAAGGCTGACTCTGAATATCATTTCTCATACCCTCACTCATCGTCATCTCACATTTATCAAGCACTTTATCATGAGGTTGCTCCTCAGAGCTGGGTTCTCTCAACAGCCTGTTTCACTGTTTTAGCTGCGTTGCCCTGCCTAAGACACATAACGCCCTGAGCCTTAGTTTGGTCATCACTGAAATAGGGATAAGATTGGTCCTTGCGCTGCTGGCTCACAGAGTGTTCATCAGACTTAATTGACCAAGGAGATGTAAAGTGCTTTGATGAAAAGCGTGGTCTTATTAAGGGCTCATAAACATAATGTTGGACCACCTAGAGTAGAAGGTGGTAATTTAAAGCCTTGTTGGTTTAATACTTTAAACTATTAGAATTAATAGAAGTACTTTCTGGACTGTCCACAGTTTTATACCATGTGTTCTTTCTACCACTGGACCCCACCATTAGCTCCAGTTAAGAATTGATAAAAAGAGCTTCTTAATGACAATGATGCCAATAGGGACTTGGCTTTGGAGCAGGTTTTTTTGTTTGTTTGTTTGCAGTACACTGGCCTCTCACTGTTGTGGTCTCTCCCGTCGCGGAGCACAGGCTCCGGACGCCCAGGCTCAGCGGCCATGGCTCACGGGCCCAGCCGCTCCGCGGCATGTGGGATCTTCCCAGACCGGGGCACGAACCTGTGCCCCCTGCATTGGCAGGCGGACTCTCAACCACTGCGCCACCAGGGAAGCCCCGGAGCAGGGTTTTGTATTATCTTGGAAGCTTGGGATTGATATAATGTCAGTCTCTGATGCAGGAAGCTTTTCCAACTTTAGCCCTTAAACTGGGCCAAAGTGGTAATTTGGACTGTTTGCTATCTGATAGTGAATGGAAACTTTGAGCTCTTCCAAACTGTCTGCCTTATGTACTCTTCCCCGTATGTCTCTTCCTCAGATCTCTCCAACTTTAATTATCATGATCATCATGAACATCATCATCTCTAACTAACACTTCTATAGTACTTACAATGTATCAGGCAACTTTGTGAGTTTGAATTTACATTATGTTGAATTCATTTAATCCTCTCAACAGCCTCCTTTTAAAGAGGCTGTTGGCTCAGGGCAGTTGAAGAATTTGTCCATGTTTCCGTAGCTAGCAGATTGCAAAGCAGGGGTTTATTTTTTAAATTTTTAATTGAAATATAGTTGGTTTGCTGTGTTGTGTTAGTTTCAGGTGTACAGCAAAGTGATTCAGTTATACATATAATTTTTCAGACTCTTTTCCCTTATAGCTTACGGGTTATTACAATAAGATACTGAGTAGAGTTCCCTGTGCTACACAGCAGGTCCTTCTTGGTTATCTATATTATATAGAGTAGTGCATATATTTTAATCCCAAACTCCTAATTTATCCCTCCCGCCCTTTCCCCTTTGGTAACCATAAGTTTGTTTTCTATGTCTGTGAGTCTGCAAAGCAGGGGTTTAAACCAAGGTAGTCTGGACCCAGATCTCAGGTTTTAACAATTCTGCTGAACTGCCTATCCGGCATTGCTTCATGTGCCTGGTTCCAGGAATCCCCAGAGAGATTAAAGTCTTCTAAAAACCTACACCTGCTCTCTTGAGGGCTTAAAGGACCGTAAGACTCCATGCAGGGGCATTTTCTCAGTGTTTTAGTCAGTTTGGGCTGCTATAACAAAATACCATAAACTGGGTGGCTTAAATAACAGAAATGTATTTTTCAAAGTTCTGGAGGCTGGAAGTCTGAGATCAGGGTGCCAGTATGGTCGGTGTCTGGTGAGGACCCTTTTCTGGCCTGCAGATCACCATCCTCTTGCTGTGTCCTCACATGGCAGAAAGAGAGAGGGTGTCCCTTTCTTATAAAGACACTCCCATCATGGAGGCTCCACCCTCAGGGCCTAATTACCTCTCAATGCCCGGACCTCTGAATACCATCCTCCTGGGGGTTAGGGTTTCAGCATATGAGTTTGAGGGGACACTCAGCGGCTATGACTTCTCCTCAGTGACAATCTGTTCTTCTAATTTCCTTCCTCTGGAACAGCCCTCCCTTCCCTAGAGTGCCCAGAAAGACAGAGACTTTGGGAGGAAATGCAGAGCCACCAGAACTGGCCAGTTGGGGGCCCGTGGGCCCTCAGGAAGGGGGACCTAAACCCTCTCCCATGAGGAAGGAAGGGCCGGGTCTAGGGAACCTCAGCCACTGCAGTCTCCTCTGCTCCAAGCTGATGGAGTTGTGGAACAGCAGGAACCGAGGGCAGCCTCGTAACTTAGAACCAGCGAGGCAGGCCTGTGCCATTTCCAGAGGTCACGCTGTGCCCTCGGGGCTGGCGAGAAGGTGCAGGACACCCAGGCCCTAGCTAGGTGGGACGGGCTGTGTAACTTGCAGACCACACAAACACAGGGCTCAGGCCCGCATCCCCAGCCCTGGTCTTCTGAGCAGGAAGGGGGGGTTAGGTGCAGAACGGAATGGGTAAAACCCAGAGGTCTCACCTCAGTGGATCCATGTTCAGCAGCAAGGAGGATGTCTCAGGGCCATGCATGAAAGATATTGGCATGTGTGTTCTGCCCCACATGCAGACTTGGGACCTGTGAGGGGGACGCAGGAGGTTGGTGTGTGGATCCAGTTGTGATAAGGGATGGCGTAAACAAAGGGAAAAGATAGGGACTGACACATCCATACACCTTTTTGTTGGCACCCCGGGTGCCTTCCTTAATTAACACTTTCTCCTCACCTTTTCTAGCAGCAGTGTCCTTGTAAAACGGATGTTCAGGCCCATGGAAGAGGAGTTTGGTCCAGCACCTTCTAAGCAGATGAAGGAAGAAGGGATGAAGCGAGGTACCGTTCCCGTTGAGGCCCTTCCCCGGTGTTGCTCCAATTAGGAATGCTGGTGGGGACATTTCACTGAGAAGAGCCCCCGGCCCGGCCCATGTCCCTGTGGTTCCGTGCTAGCCTGGGGATGCTTTTATTGACCCAGGAAGTCCACAGTCTTCTCCTTTGCTTTAAACCTTATCTTTTTAAACACCCTAAGCAAACATTTATTCTTCCTGGGCACTGATTCTTTCCTTTACCTTTAGGGAAATGTAGTGAATATACTGACTCATCCAGCAGTGAGATATAAGGTTAAAAAGAAACTCGTGCTGTGTTTGACAATACCCTCTCATAAGCACCAGCAGCTGAGAATCCTTCAACAGACGCAAACGATTAATCACGGTACAAGTCAGGGAACCTGTTTTCTGTGACATCACAACTTACTCATTTTCTCTCAGTCAGGGATCTTATCCCGCTTCACCGAGAGAATAAGAAACGAAGCACAGGCCTGTCAGTGTCTTGCTCAGCATCTCGATGCTGTGCTGACTCACTGTCCCTCCTGGGAGTAAGGGGAAAGGGGAGGTGGTGGCTTTTCTCCCCACATCCTGCTGTAGCCAACACCAAGAGCTTCCAGAGACCTTCTGCTTACAGCACTGGACTTTTAATGAGTCAGGTTACCGTACGTCCACCATCTGCACAGGCTTGAGGTTTTTGTTACTGAGAATTTTTTTTTTCCTATTTGTTGAAATGGAATTTGCATAATGGTCGAGAGCATCCCCTGTGTAGCCTCCCTCAGTCACATCGAGTCACGTGACCTTGGGAAGGTCCTCTGCACCTTGGAGTCCTCACTTGTAAAATGGGGTGACAAGAGTACCTACGTCACAGAGGGAGGCTTATGAGTTAATGTACGTAAAACACCAAACTCAAGTGCCCAGTACATAGTAAGCACTCCATCTTCACTAATATAATTATTAGTTTTATTTTTAGGCCTGGATCTAGGTAAGGAATATTATCATAATTGTGAATGAGTAATGAGCATTTCAGAATTCAAAGAGTGTAAACACCTGAGTAGTGTTAATTACAGTAGTAATATTTAAACCTATAAAGGGTTTTCCGACTTCACAGGCTCACTGTCAAATATTCGAGTGCATTTTGAGCTCCATTCCTGCATGCCTTTTATATCTCATCCTTTAGAATGAGGGCAATGTTATATGGAAATCAAGGATCACACGGGCCAAAGTAATAGTAGCTTACATCCATATTTAGTACATGCTGGCTGGTCCAAAGCTTGTGTTTTTCAGATATTTTGAGGTTGCAAAGTCTGCACAAAAATTGCCATCAGGAATTGCTGTGACAAAATGCAAAGTTACGGCCTTTGAAACATCTCACTCATAGGGACACATGAGGGCACTGCAACCTTCCAGCAATAGAGAACTCGTTCTCCCAGGAGTGGCTTTTCTTTGGAAAAGGACAGTGGAGTTACTGAGCCCCTCGCCTGGAGCTCCTACGCTGAGCTGGGCTTTGAGAGGCACAAGGAGTCGGGGTCAGTGACAGTGCCCGTTGTTTGTTAAAAGTTCTCCAGGACAGAGAATGACTGTAATTATCACCAATGCCGTTATTTGTTTTGCCTTTGTAGCCACTTCTCAGTGTGGCTCTCTCAAAGTCATGGGAGTCGGTTGCCTTTGTCTGTACAAGCTCTGGGATGCCTGATAATGGTTACTGCTATGTTAGCGGAGTGATTGCTATCCACAGATACACAGTTAATGAGAGCTGCCTCTCTGGGCAGGCCCTGGGGGTGAGCTGTAAGCCCAGCATGCAGGTGTGGCTATCAACAAGCCCAGCAGGAGATGGTGGCACTGCAGCCCATCAACCCGCTGCCATGTCCCCTTTAACCCATTCCAGGGGCTCCTACAGCAGAAGTAGCAGCCACACTATTTTAAAGACAATGATTTTCCAAGAAGAGGTCTGTAAATCCAATGGAAGCGGCCCTCATTTAAATATTGGGCTGGCCAAAAAGTTCGTTCGGGTGGTTCAAACTTTTTGGCTAACCCAATAGAACATGGTTTGGGGTTTCCTTAGGGTCAGCCTGCTGGTAATTACATTTTTCTGTTGGGGGTTACAGGAAGAAGTTACAGAATGTTCATCTGTAACAGCCACTGGTGGGAAGCAGTCTTCTGGGGCAGCTGCGTGGGCTCCACAGTCACGGCTTCCCATCCCTTCTCTTTCAGTGCTTTTGTACGTGAGGAAGGAGACAGACGATGTGTTTGACGCCTTGATGTTGAAATCCCCCACCGTGAGGGGCCTGATGGAAGCGGTAAGCAATGAACCCCCTTCAGCCTCCGAGAAACCGGCATGTAGTCTCCTGAGCTGAAATCCATTTATTAAAATGCAGCCTTTGAGATGGCCCTGGAATGAGCTTTCTCAAGGAAAAAGAAAAAGCAGAGATTTATGGGGACACTGATTTCCACCCTGTCTGGCTTATTATTAGCATCTTAAGGAGAAGGAAACTTTGTAAAACTGCCAATTCCCTGTCAGTTTAAGGCTAATCAGAGTAAGATGCCACAGAGAAAGTTTAAACTGTGGGTTTCCATTTGTCTCTTTGCATGAAACCAAATTAGATACGTTTAACTTCCAAATCTATACAGAACAAAAACGATTAGGAAGTGTCTTGCCAGCTGCGATAGTGTAATCCAAAATAAAATATGACCTCTTTTGGTTAAAAGAGGTTAAAAAAATATAAATTGCAGAGTTATAAAATGATTTAAGTAAGATTCTGAAATCTCTCCCTCCCTTTTCATCCCCTGTTTAGTCTAGCATTACCCAACCTGGGCTCAGGAAGTTATTTTATGTTTTATCCATGTATTATCCATCTGAATGTGACTCTACATTGAAAATGATATCTGACTCCCCTGTACAACCATGTTGTAGAAGATCCAGGGTTTTTGTGGTGATGAAGACAGCAGGACTGGCAAGGGACAGTCTAGAATTTTTGTTGGTCTGGAAAACTGCTGCATTGAAACAGCATATTGGGCTATAGAGTAATATGTGAAAATGCGTAGGACAGTGACTATAAGTGGAATCATACACTACGTTGTCTTTTGTGGATGATTTCTTTCACTTTGCCTAATGTTTTTGAGGTTCGTCTATGTTGTAGTATAAATCAGTACTTCATTCTTTTCTATGGCTGAATAATATTCCATTGTATGGATATACCACATTTCGTTTTTCCATTCACCCGTTGATGGACATTTGGATTCCACCCCCCGCCACCCTTTGGCTATTGTGAATAGTGCTGCAAAGAACATCCAGGTACAGGTGTTTGTTTGAATACTTGTTTTCAATTCTTTGGGGTGTATACTGAGGAGTGGAATTGCTAGCCAGACACGTAAGGCCACATTGTATAACCATACAATTTATAGGAAACATCAAGAACAGGCAAATCCGTCGAGACAGAAAGCAGATTAGTTGTTGCCGGGAGTTGGGGGAAAAGCGAGTGAGGAAAGTCTGCTTAATGCGCTTCCTTTTGGGGTGATGAATTGTCCTGGAACCACACAGCACATCGTGAATGTACTAAATGCTACCGAATTGTACACTTTAAATGGTTTAAGTGGGGAATTCATATGATATGTAAAAAAATTATTTGTTCACCTGACATTTTTTTTAAAAAGCACAAGAATGTTACCAATGTGGTTGGCATTGTTAGGCAATTCAGAGCAGGGCACGGAGGACCACCCTCTAAGAAACACTTGGCTGGAGGGTTTGGTCATCTCTTCTGTTCTCAGGATCTGTCATTGGCATGGAGTTTGTTGTTACTGAATCTGCCCCCAACCCCATAAAGGGAAAACAAACACAGAAATGAACACAACAAAAAGTATCATCTATCTCTCTTCAAATTAACTAGGATTTTTTTTAAATGACCCTAAAATGACTGGAAGATTGATTTATGAGCTACAGAAGCCCTTTGAACAAATTTCATACCTTTAATCTGGCCTTTAAGATCATATTACTGAAACTGACTTACCTAGGATGGTGGTGAAGCTGAAATTACTTTAGCAGCTGTTTTGAATGCATATTCCCAGTCCTCAACCCCAGATTCCCGTTCTGCTGAAGTGGAGGTGGGGGAGGGCAGTGGAGCAGCAGGAATCTGCATTTTTGGGGTTTTTTTTTTTTGCGGTATGTGGGCCTCTCACTGTTGTGGCCTCTCTCGTTGCGGAGCACAGGCTCCGGATGCGCAGGCTCAGCGGCCATGGCTCACGGGCCCAGCTGCTCTGCGGCATGTGGGATCCTCCCGGACTGGGGCACGAACCCGTGTCCCCTGCATCGGCAGGCGGACTCTCAACCACTGCGCCCCCAGGGAAGCCCAGGAATCTGTATTTTTAACAGTTCTTCAGGGTATTCTGAGATCAGCCAGGTGTGAGAACAACTGACCTAGACCAATTCTGAACTGATTCATCACGCCTTTTTCCTTGGTGTCTTCCTTTCCTGTTTGTGACATCTGGCTAGTTCTACAAGTGTTCTGTAGCTGTGGTCTCGCTGGATCACAGTGGGGTTAAATGTCACCTTCACTTCCACCCAAACAATCCCTGAGTTAACTCTGCTTTTTTGTTTCTCTCTTCCCCAATAGAATGTAAAGTTCATGAGAACAGGGGCTTTGTCTCTTGCTGTCTTCTGTGGATCCCCAGGTGTTTGAGCATATATATTTGTTGACTGAATTGAGCATCCACTGTGTATGTACCACCATGCCACGTGCTATGGGTGGCATGTATTTCACATGCATTGCTTCACTTGAGCTTCACTATATCCCTGTGAACTTGGCAGGTCAGATGTCATCACCGTCATTTACAGATGTGGGGTTTCCTGAGCTCCACAGAGTGGCAGAGCCAGCTTAAGCCCTTGAGCAACTTAAGTCCACTTAGGGAGATGTCCACACATGAAAAGTTATTACAAGAAGAATAACCATTCCAAGTCACAGCTCACAACAACTAAAGGAAAGAAGCTTAGGCAATAGTAAGCCATCAGGCAAGAAGCAGTGTGTATGATGGTTGATCCCACACAGTCAGGGTTCAAATCCTAGCTCTGACACTTCAGAGTAGTGTGACCCTAGGCAAGTTACTCAACCTCTCTGTACCCCAGGTTCATCGTTTCAGAAATGAGAGTAATAATAATATGGGATATTATTATGAAGATAGATACTGATAAAATCAGATGTAGGGTTGTTTCGAGGATTAAATGAGTTCCTATACAAGGTGTTTAAAGTAGCACATAGAAACACTGTATATAGGGAGTTCCCTGGTGGCACAGTGGTTGAGAATTCGCCTGCCAATGCAGGGGACACAGGTTCAATCCCTAGTCCAGGAAGATCCCACATGCCACGGAGCAACTAAGCCCGTGCGCCACAACTACTGAGCCTGTGCTCTAGAGTCTGCGAGCCACAACTGCTGAGCCTACGTGCCACAACTACTGAAGCCCACGTGCTCTAGGGCCCATGTGCCACAACTACTGAGCCCGTGTGTTGCAACTACTGAAGCCCACATGCCTAGAGCCTGTGCTCCCCAACAAGAGAGGCCACCGCAATGAGAAGCCTGCACACCGCAACAAAGAGTAGCCCCCGCTCGCCACAACATATATATATGTAGTGGACGGCTGTAAGTGCTATGGGGTGGAGAGGCAGATTGAGATTCCCTCAAGCCAAAGGGGCTAGAGAAGGGTGTTCTCCCTTGGTGAAGCTGGCTGGGTGCACAGGGAAAAGGTGGCTCGTGGCCCCGGTAGCACCCCCTTCTATGCAGCTGAGTCATTCATGCATGGAGATGCAGGCCTGTCCTCCCCAATTCTATTGACAGGTCAGATGTAGCCACCTAGGAAGTATTTATAAGCAAGAGCTACCCCTTTTTCAAAAGTGCACCTTGGAGCCCACACTGAACAGTTTATAACTCCACATCAAAGTCATCGGCCTCCAGAGCTGGCAGCTGTGTTGGATGCCTCTAGAGCAGGCAGACAGAGTCCTACATTGGTGAAAACCAGTGGAAATCTCTAGTTCTGCCTGTCACATATCTGAGGTTTCTGGGCAAAGAGAACTCTCCACAAAGTAAAAGTCTGAAAGTTCCAGATCATCAGCTAGCCAGTAACACACTGATGAGATATGTCCAAGACCTAGGATCCTCTTGGGCGTCAAGGAAGTCTTAGGGGGTCCTTAAAAATATTGATCATGAGCTTTTAAAAATGATGGACATATATGAGCAGTCCAGACTACTTGAAAAACACAAAGAAAAAACCAAGCAGTCCTAATGCCCCCGCTCTGAGAACTATCACGAAGTGTGTGCTTGCCACGCACACGGAAGGGGAGTGTTGTGGTGACACCATCCAGCTCCTGGGCAGAAGGATTCCTTCCGTAATCTCCCGACAGATGGCCAGCTTCCTCCACATGCTATCCTGCACGGTCTCACTTCTTTCCAGGCTTCTGGATTTGGCAAAGCCCACTTCCTTGCCTGGCGTGGAGGCAGAGGATGCTGTGTTAGGGTGGCATTTTATCCAGCTGCCTCTGCCTTTGCCTTTGCCAACTGCACAGAGGGCAGGGCTTTGTCCTCCTGGAGACCGTTGCCCTCGGCAGCCTGATGCCCGTGTCAACTCTGCCAGTTGCTTCTTGGTACTGGATGGGGTCCATGAGCCCTGCTTCAAACAGGCCCATCATATGCCCCTTTTCTCTATGAGCTTAGAATCTGAAACCAGACTGCCAGACTGTTACCTTTTAAATCCTGTCTCTGCCACTTCCTAGCTGAGGGACCCTGATTACTTACTGAGTGTTAAGCCTGAGTTTCCTTGCCCGAGAAACAGGTCTCCTAAAAACACCTATTCTGTTGCAATGATGTGAGAATTGAGTGAGTTAATAGATGCAGAGCTCCCTGTGCTGATATGCTAAGCACTTAGTAAGCACTCAGTGAATGCTGGCTGCTGCCGCAACTTCTGGCAGATATGCAGGTTTATGCAAATTTCCTGACTGTTATCAACTGATCTGTGAGCTGAGGTATATGCATTCATGCTTTGGGAAAAACTGGGAGTCAAACCCCTGAAAAGAGAAGAACCAAGAATCAGATTCACCTCTCTTTCAGAAAAGGGGGACTTAAAGAGATGAACTTGCTGAGGTTGAGTCGAAAAAGGAACACACTTTATTCTTCCATTTCATTTTAAAAAGAAGTTCCAAATGACACCAACCAAAGTTCAAAACCCAACGCTTGCAGGCCAAGCAACTCACAACGATAAATGTTTTGGTTTTTATTTATTTTACTTTGTAGTTTCCTCTTTCTCTTTAGTTTTGCAGTTGGATTAAGTCACTTTTTCATCTTTTCTTTACTTTCCCTAAATTGTTTCAGTCTCTTCTCCTTATTGCTCTGTGATTCCATTATGTTCTTTTTACTTCAAGAATCCTTATTTAACACTTATTTCACATTCCCAGTCCATTTAACTATATATAGGTAGTTATACATACCTATAACTCTATATACGGACCATATATATCTATATGTATATACATTATGTATGGATATAACTATAAATCTATAGTTATATAGAGAGTATATATAGTCTGTCTTCGCGCGTGCGCGCGCGTGTGTGTGTATACGTATATATATATTTATGGTACAACACTGATTGCTTGTTTTCTTCCCCCTTTGCTTTGCTGAAGTCTTTGTTTTGATGCATATTCAGTTTAGCTAGAGTTCTTTTGTGAGTATTTTCCTCAAATGGAATATCTGGGTGAAATGCGTTTCTTACATGCCATTCTTTAACCTGAGAAGTGAGGGAGAGCTTGTTGGTGTACAGAATTCTTGGGGTAAAGTCCCTTTTTTCAGTAGTCTGTAGGGGTTATTCCGGTTTGGTTTCTAGTGCTACAGATGAGAAGACTGAAGCCAGGTTCATTCTTTTTCTTTTCTTTTTTTAGTAACTTGTACTTTCTGTCTGGGAGGTTCCAGGATGTTGTATTTTCATTACCCTTGGAGATCTGGCACTTTTCAGAGTGGCCAGATGCATGGGTCTTTTCTCATTGCTCCTTCCTGGGATTCAGGATACCCCTCCTATCTAAAAACATGGGTCTTTCCTGTTATTTGTCTAATTGTTTCCTCTTCTCCATTTGCTCCTTTTTCTCTGTCTGGGACTTTGGATATAGTCACATCAGGTATGGCTGTCTCTCTTCGTCAAACCTCTCTTTTTTTTCCCTTCGTGATTTCCATTTATGCTATGTGTCTTTGCTCTGCACTTGAAATGGTTTTTCTAATCGATCTTTCCTAACGCAGACTGGTTTGCTGGATCGACCACCTGGCCTTCAATTTATTTATTGACCTTTACAGATTTTTTGGTTCAATAATCATATATTTAGATCAGAATTTTACACTTGTGTGCTGTACAGCAGTCTTCATAAGTGCTCTTTTATGTTCTGTTCACACAGATGCCGTCCACATTAAGTTCTGTCCATTTTCTTTGCTGCCCACAGGCCGTGTTATTTTATGTGCTGGGCTCATTTGGGCTCCAGTATGGCCGTGAGGCAGTTCCATCAGTGACGGAGCAGTGATGTGCGACAGGCAGGCCACTTGTTTCCCAGTCTACCTTTGCTGTCTCAGTCCTCGGCCCACCTGTTCTGCTCCTTTGGGGCTTGGGGGAGGGGGTGGGAGTTCTTCCTGTGCAGTGTAAGGGATGGATGGGTGGGAATCCGATTCTCTGGAGAATAAGCTCTTCCCAGGAGCCAAACCTATCCCACCTTTGTCCCAGGGCTCTTTGGCTTCTTTTCCTAGGCCCTGCTAGACTGCCCAGTAGTCCAAGTCCCAAACCTCACCTGCCCTAGCTGTTTGTGAGCCCTGCCAGCCACTGGGCTCACAAGAGGTGGGTGGATTGGATTTGGGAGAGAAAAAGCGTTTTGGGTAGGTGTCTCCAGAATCCATCTCTAAACTATTATTATATTACTTTATAGTTTTATATTTATAAAACTGAATCATGGTCACTGTAAAAATAAATAGTACAGAATTGTACAATGTGAAAAGAAAAAGAATCTCCTTGTTTCTGTCCATTCTTCCAGGGTAGCCACTGTTAATAGATTGGCGGGTCTTTCAGATATTTTCTATTTACTTACATATAGTTTTTTAAAAAAATACAAGTGGGATTACACTATATACAGTGTTTTGCAATTTGTGTTTTTTCACTTAGTATGTTAAGGACATTTTTCTCATATAGGCGTCCTGCATTTCTTTTAATGATTGCACGACGTCATGGTTTTCAACTGTGCAAATATCAAAATGTGCTTAATGAATGTTTGTTATACACAGTTATCTGTGTTATGAACAGTGATGCTTTGAAGAGCTTTGCATACATCTGAGTGTATTTCTGTACACCAAATTACTAGATGTGGACTATTTGGGTCAAAAGATATATGCCTTTTAAATTTCAATAGCTTCTGCCAGATTTCCCTCCAGAAAGGTTGAGCTTGTTGCTCTCCTGTCTATGGGCTATGAGAGTTGCTGTTTCTTATCCTTTGGCTGGCACTGTATTATCAATTCTTCAGTTTTTGTTAGTCTCATAGATTAAAGGTAGTATCCTGCTGTTGTTTTAATTTGAATTTTTAAATTAATAGTGAGGTGGTGCATTTTCTTATTTGCTTATTGTCCTATTGTATTTTTTCTGTGAATTACTTCTTTATGTTGTTGCCTTCCTTTTCCCATTGAATTGTTAGTCTTTTTCTTTTAATTGAAGCATGGTTGATTTACAATATTATGTTAGTTTCAGGTGTACAGCAAAGTGATTCAGTTATACGTATATATTTTTTCAGGTTATCTTCCATTATAGGTTATTGTAAGGTATTGAATATAGTTCCCTGTGCTATACAGTAGGTCCTATTGATTATCTATTTTATATACAGTAGTGTGTATCTGTTAATCCCAGACTCCTAATTTATCCCTCCCTCCCCCCTTTCCCCTTTGGTAACCTAAGTTTGTTTTCTGTGTCTGTTTGAGTCTGTTTCTGTTTTGTAAATACATTCATTTGTATTAAAGAATATGGACCAATTCACGAACTTGCACGTTATCCATGTGCAGGGTCCATGCTCATCTTCTCTATATCGTTCCAATTTTAGTATATGTGCTGCCATAGGGAGCATGTTAGTCCTTTTTTTTTAATTTGGAGGTGTTCTTTCTAACTTAAGAAAGTTTAGTTCCATGTCTGTCATTTGTGTTGCAAAAATGTTTCCCAGTGTATTGTTTGTCCTCAGCTTTTTGGGTGGTTATGCCTATACTGGTATTTTTCATTTTATGCTGCTTTATCTACATTTTGGCCTTTTTTCTTCAGGTTTCATAGCTTGCTTGGCATCTTCCTTACTTAAAGATGATATCTGTACAAAGAATTGATTCATGGTTTCTTCTTGCATGGTTTCATCTTTTCCCTGTAAATCTTTGGTGATATTTATTTTGATGGAAGTCGTGGAGAAGGGATCTGACTTAACTTGTTAATTTTTTTCTATATGGCTACCTATTTAATCCAACATCATGATTAGAGTCCATCTTTTTCTGACTGACCTGAAATGACACCTTCATCATAGATTAAATTCTCCTGTGGGTGAATTTTTTGTTGACTGATTTATGGTTTGTCCAAAGAAATGAGCCTTTTTGAGAGTCTGACTCATGAGTGAAGACCACTGGCACCCAGAAACATTTCCAGGACAGTGAAGTTGGAATTTTCTCTCGTCTCCGCTTGGCTCCCCTTCCACACTCACCTGCTTTTTTGTTATTGGTTGCAGATATCTGAGAAATACGGGCTGCCCGTGGAAAAGATAACAAAGCTTTACAAGAAAAGCAAAAAAGGGTAAGAAAGAAACGGAACTTAAATTGATTTCCCAATTAGATATGTCTATACAGTGCCTTTAAAAAAAACTAGATGGTGCCCGTATTTCGTTAGTTCTGTTGTCTGCCTTTTATAAAAATTTGTCATCCTTCCAAAGGCGTGCTGAGCAGCTTACGTGTGCCACGCATTTTGAAGACCTTTAATGAGAGAGAGCGGGGGGTGAGAGTGCATTGTCATGACGTCAGCTGAGATGCCCCCCTCCAATGACAGGATTAGTGGGTAGAATAGAGGGGTCTGGAAGTGGTGAGAGTGGCCCTGGGGACAGTGGCAAGGTCGCCCTTCTGCAGAGAGCAGAGTTTATAGGGAATCACGTGCTGCTCTTGGGGCTGGTTTCAGGGCAGCACGGTAGAAGTACAAAGGATTCAGGGCATAGAGGATTCTTCTGAGGTTATTACTAACATAATGATCGAAATGATTACTGGACCTGCTTGTTCTCACTGTTAAGAACAACAGCTCTCATTTATCTGGTGCTCAGTAGGTTCTGGGTCCCCTGCTAAGTGCTTTATGTGTATTGTTCTATTGTCCCTCACCACTCAGTGAGGTAGATTCTTACCCATAATTTATTGCTGATGGAGGCTAAGCAACTTGCCCAAAGTCTCATGTTCAGTAGGTGAGGCGCAGATTTAACCCAGGTCCGTGGCCCCGAAGCCCTAGTGTTTAGCTCGCACATCTGCTGTCTCCAGCCCTCCCAGGGCCTCCTGTGTATGAGGCTCCAAGTTTAGTTGCCACGGAGCTGGATTTAGTGCCAGGAGCGGGTCTCCATTAGAGTCAGCTTCTGGAGCTATCTTCTTACAAAAATCATAAAATAGGTCTTTAAACTCTTCTCTGGGCCTCTTTCATAAAGGAAATTGATTATCTGGGATACTCAGGCTTTTTGAGTGATGCGGTCTCTCGGTTAATTTGGAGCCAAGCAGGAAACCCTTTCCACTTGAGCCCTGGTTGAAAAGCTCACTAAAATGCATGTTACAGTTCTTTCCAAAGTCAGTGCAAGAGGCTGAGTGTATTCCTTCGCTGGTGAGATTTGAGCGGTGTCTCAAGGTCTCACGTTGAGCAGAAGCCCTCAGTGTCGATGCACGTGCCGATGGTAACATTTCACTTCCACTGAGCCCTGTCTCAGGCCCTGGGCCAAGTACTTTAATCCTGACAACAACCGTCTAAAGCAGGGTTGTTATTCTTATTTTTGTGGAAAGGCTAAACAACTTGCCTGATGACACATAGCTGTAAAATGAGAGTCAGTTCTCAAACCAAGATCTGTCTGACTTCAGAGAAGGGGATTGGCTAAAGGGCTTCTAAATCACAGACAGACAGGCCCTGGAAGTTGTTGGTTTTCTTAAAACCAAACCCAACACAGATGGTTAACCAAGGAGTAGGTCACATGTGGTAAAAGTATGAACTTCAGAGTGAGGCAAAGCCAGTTTCAAAACCTAGCTCAGCAGTGAAGCAGCTGAGTGAACTTGGGGACACGATCTCACCTTGCTGAGCTCAGGTTTCTCATTTGCAAAGTGGTGATGACCGCACCTGCCTTCAAGGTTGCCCTGAGGACTGAACACAAGGTCTCCAAAACACTGGAACACACTACATGCTTGAGGAAGGGTACCTGCAGCTCTTGTTTATTTTCCTCTTCTCCCAAGTGTGGAGTACTTTTTTAAAATGCATTTTCAAGAGGCAATATGGTTTAATGAAAATAGTTCGGGGACCTGGCCCTGTCAATAGCTAACTTTGTGATTTCAGGCTCTGTTAACTTCTGGGCTGTACTTTACCAATCTAGAAAGCAGAAGGTTTGGGTTGAATGAGCTCTGAAATCCTGTTTCATAAGGAGTTAGTTCTGAGAAAGCGAGGTTTTGCTTTCCTCAAAGTGCCTTCTGGGGGCCAGTTTGGGGGCCGCTGCAGAGTGGGAGCCTCTCTCCCTGCCTGTCTCCTCTCCCCTCCAGCCCCCGCCCCCCTCCCTGGCCTCCCTTGCAAAAGCGTGGCTGAGGGAGCCCCCAGCCGGGAGCCTGCCCTTGCACCGAGCGTCTTGGTCACGGCATCTCTGTTCCCCCATCCCCGGCAGCATCCTGGTGAACATGGACGACAACATCATCGAGCACTACTCGAATGAGGACACCTTCATCCTCAACATGGAGAGCACGGTGGAGGGCTTCAAGATCACGCTCATGGAGATCTGAGCCCTGCTCCGGGCAGCAGCCCTCAGGGCCTTTCTCCCCGGGGCAGCCGGAAGCCCGGGCCCTGCAGACCCACCCAGCCCATCTCACAACTGCTGTTACACGACCGCGCTGGGGAGCGGGCCGAGGCCCGAAGCCCCGTGTTTGGTCCGTGCGTTTGGTCCGCCCGCCGGCTCCTGCCATGGAGCCGCAGCCCAAGCGCCTCGGGAAAGGGCCTTGCGCCTGTTGGATCCTTATTTATTGTCCACCTTTCTCCGGAGCCCAGGGCCCAGGCCCGCCAGGGCTCTGCAGGTCACTGCTGGCTCCAGGTGCCACCGTCCAGAGCCCTCCCCTTCAATCCATTCATCCCGAAGGGCCTGAGGATGCTCGCCCCTGCCGTCTCACCTCCTTACGTCTCCTGAGTGGACGGACAGAACGAGCCATTTCCTTCATCAGAGGTCGGGGGAGAGGTGGACGCCCCTTCCTGGTGAGAAACCTTCAGGCTGCTCGGGGACGGTCATCTCGCCGATACCCCCAGGGGTTCCCGGTGAGTGGCCAGCAGGCCGTGTACAGGAAGACATTCAGCCACTGTGTAATTAGTAAGTAACCTAGAAGGTGTGCCTGGCTACCCGTGTACATAGTGTTTATAATATGGCAATAATATATTCTACCTGTGCTATGTGGGCATGTTTACTGCCACTGGCCGGGGGAGGCACATACCTGGAGACCCTGCTTTCTCCAAGAGGCTTCTGCCTCTGTGCTGTTCAGGAGACGCGCTGGGTGACGGAAGTGGCCTTCGGGGTGTTGGGTGACTGCGGTGGGCGCCGAGACAGCTACTCCCGTGGGCACGCGTGGGGCCTCGGTCCCTGTCCGCAGAGGGCGCCCTGTTGTTCCCTTTCCACGGGCACTGCTCGCCCCGGAGGCCACTGAGTTTATCTCACGGCGATGTGCTTTGCCTGACCCTCCCTCTGAGCTGTGTCGTGGCAAAGGTGAGATTGTCTGAGGCCCCAGCTCCTCCCGCTTTGGTGTCGGCACCGCCTGGACTTTCTGGAGGGACCGCAGGGGGGTTGCCACTAGGGCCGCGTCTCTTGGGCCCGCTGCAGAACTCCTTGGCTATCGTGAGGATCCTGGCCACTGTGAGTGCCTCGCAGTTTACAAGCACGTCTTTCATCACAAGTGGCCCCCTTAAAGCCCAACTGTGGTCCCGAGAGCGAGGCCGACAGTTCAGCTCTGGGTCTCCAGGCCACGGCGGCCTCCCGGGGCTCAGCCGGCACGGGAGAGGCCGGGCTCCGCCGCCTCTGCTCCCAGATGCTGGATGTGGAGGGAGCAAGCGAGGACGCCCCGAGAGCCCTGGCTCTTCGGAAAGCAGCGTCCAGAGGAAGACGGAGAGGTGGTTTGCCCTTCTGCTGGGTGCCCTAGCAGATGAAAAGAAACGCTTCCCCAAACGATCACGATGTCATGGACCGTCCAGGCCACAGCTCTCTTTGAGGGGACAGGAACGTGGTCTAGGGGTCTGTGTTCACCTTTGTGGGTTGAAGCGCTAGCTTTCTACTAGCGAGCACACCCTCCACCCAAGGTCCCAGGTCTAGGACAGGTTCTCTGTAAGGACCCATTTGGTTGTAAAGCACTTTGATGTCTTACCTGGGGGCTTTCTCTTCAAGGGCTCCCTGCCCTCCCACCCCATTGCCCCTGAGGCCCAGAGCTGGACGGAAGGGCTGCCTCCAGTCCAGCTGTTTGTCCTGGAGGCTGCAGAGGACTTGAATGGAATGGTGGGCAGGTGCAGAGCCTAGGAAGATCTCTGGGTGTGGTGAGCAGGCACCTTTCCGTGTCTTCTGGACACATCACCCCTCTCCGTGGTGCCAAAGGTTACATCCTGGATTCACCTCTGCTCCAGTCTGTCGCCTCCTCCTCCACTCTGTGACTGCCATGCCCTGGACCGGCATCTTGGGGACCCTCCTGGGTACTAATGGGGCTCATTGTTGTTGGGAGTGCATGATGTACAATGCGCCTCCCATGCTCCTTGCCTGAGGGCTGGTTCCAGACGTGATCGGCAGATGTAATGGCGAATACCACTGGGCCGGGGCACAGCACTCCAGAATAGGAGAAAGAGAAAATCTTTGGCAATCTGACACGGGTTACCAAGCCTTCTCTCTCCAGCCTCTGTGGAAAAAAAATGTTGGCTAATCCTGCCCTAGGCAGAAGATGAATCAAAGAGGCTTTTGCCTCTGTCCCAGGTCCCTGGGCAATGATCGCGGTGACCACTGCCAGAACAAAGCATATGAGGTCAGTGCCAGCAAAGGGTGGTGCAGAGTGTCCCCTCTCATCTGATCTGTCCCCATCTTACCGTGTCCCCTCTGCGTTCTCGGTGTGCCCATGGCTTAGCTTCGATGTGGCCTTCACTACGCATATGAGCAGAGCTTTGATGAGCAAAATTGTCCAAGAAAAACACTCCAGAGAGATAGGAAAACTTGCCTCCTCTTCTTTTTTTGTCCCTTAATAAATAAGCTTTAAAGAAAAAATTCACGTAAGACGAGGGACATGTGAAACAAGTGTTTTTCTTATCCTTACCCAAATTGCTTAGACTTTATGGGTGTTTAGGAATTGAGTCCAACAGAAAAATGCAGTCGGGTATCATCTTGGAATTGGATCCTAAAAGACTAAGGCACGTCCCCAGCCCAGAAACTTAAGAAGCATGAACTGAATCAAACATTTATTTTCCTTCTTATTTAAAATTACGCAAATGCAACAGAAGCAGAGGGCTTGTGCCAAATTCTATGAACAGCCCTTTCTTAAAGACAAGCAAGGAAGACTGCTAGATGGACAATTTGCTCTCGTGTTTAAAAAAAAAAAAAAAAGGCAAATGTAACTTAATAGTTTTGTAAATGGGAGAGGGGGAATCTATAAACTATAAATACAGTTATTTTATTTTTTGTACATTTTTAAGAAGAAAAAAATAAATATTCCTAACAACTCGAATGTCTGATGTTCTCGGTGAGGTTGGTATTGGGGCTCTTTGCCTGACTGGAAAGAAGCCTCTGTGTGAGCGGGGAAGGTTCTAGGCTCCCATTGGGCACCTCAGGTCCTGGGCTCCAACAAGCAGACGTTTCCTCTTCTGGTTGCTTTGTTGTGCCCAACCTCAAGGTTAAATGAGGAGAGGGCTGAAGACATCACGAGGCCTTTGGTGTGATCATGACAGGCCACCAGCATGGCTATTCTTCCAGTTCCCAGGGCAGGGAGTAGGCTCTGTCCATCTGCATTTGCCTTCCTCACGCCCGGCTCCCTCACCGCCACTTAAATGTACCACCAGAGCTTTCCCGTCCCTTAGTTCATCTCGCCCACCTCTCCACAGAGACTAAAACCATGTGGCTGAAACGCCAACCTCATCATGACAGTCTCTTGCCCTGGAACCCACAGCCTCGCTAGTATCTGTCAGCTCAAATCCCAGTATTTTTTTTTTTTTTTTTAAGTGTGGTGTGCTAATGCCCATGGAACAAACTTTGATCACTGGGAAACTGAATATGGGAGGGAGAAAGTAAGTATCCCTGACCCCTTCTTCCTCTTTTCCGTGGACAATTGCAACCTTACAGCCACATGGCTCATCTGAAGAAGCCCTGTAGGGCCAAGCAGATGCTTCTGCTGAAGGAGTTCCTTTTTTTTAACATCTTTACTGGAGTATAATTGCTTTACACTGGTGTGTTAGTTCCTGCTTTATAACAAAGTGAATCAGTTATACATAAACTTATATCCCCATATCCCCTCCCTCTTGAGCCTCCCTCCCACCCTCCCTATCCCACCCCTCTAGGTGGTCACAAAGCACCGAGCTGATCTCCCTCTGCTATGCGGCTGCTTCCCACTAGCTATCTATTTTACGTTTGGTAGTGTATATATGTCCATGCCACTCTCTCACTTTGTCACAGCTTACCCTTCCCCCTTCCGGTGTCCTCTTACCCCTAGGCTCTTCATGACCGTTTTGTTTTTTTTTCCTTAGGTTCCATATGTATGTGTTAGCATACGGTATTTGTTTTTCTCTTTCTGACTTACTTCACTCTGTATTCAAATCCCAGTACTTCTTGGCATTTCCTCAGTGGCCACGCACACTCCTTCAGCCATCCTCCATGATTAGCTCCCGAGAGCCTCTCTGTTCCAAACAAGGAGCGCTTCTATGTTCTTCCACCTGTCTGTCTGTCCACGTCCACAGCTGCTTTCAAAGCTTGGCTAAAAATTCGCCTAGGGAAAGCTTTCTCTGACCAACTTTGACCCCCTTGGCATCCTCAGCAGCCTCCGTGCTTGGACCAGTGGGCAGCAAAGAGGTCAGGAGAAGTGCCCGTTGAGGAGGCTTCTGGAGAGATCCTGGGATTAGAAATGGGCCAAAGGCCTCTTTGCCACGATCCGTGTTCCGCAGTCTCAGTAGGAAGTCTGAATGTATTCCGCACAGGCCCGAGGACGTCCTGCCGGGCATGCACTGGTCTCCACATCTCCCCTGAGGCAGTCCTCCCTTGACCCATGGCAGCCATAGTCCTGCTGTGAACTCTGCTCCCCATGTGTACCACACACCGCCCCCCCCCCCCACCTCCCTGTACTGGGACTCCAGGTAGGTAAAGCTGTCAGGGCCACAGGGTCCAGTACCAGCTCTTGCCTTCACCGCTATGCCAGCTCAGCTCAGTTACTACGGACCGGGCATCGTGCCCGGTGCTGGGGAATAAGAGGCACATTAGATGCAGTCCATCCTCAGAGGCTGCGATGTGCCCAGTGATAACAGCCTGGCATCGTCAGCACCGGGATAGGGGTTCACTCTGGGAGAGCCAGGGCTCAGCAGTCACCCCAGTCCTAAGGCATACAATCTCCTCTTACCCTTAGACTTTCACAATGTGATGAGAGGTCACCAAACGCTAATCTCACTGTAGGAAGGCTGCCAACTCGAGTGTCTGAGCCCCTGTATCTCTGAGGGTCAATGGCACGTTAACACCCAGGGCAGCAAATGCCCAGGACCTACCTGAGCCCTGGACATGTGGTCATCATTCAAGTGTAGAGAAATCTATTTGCAATGAATACACCATTGGTTAGACCCTTGGCGTGGACATCTTTTCACTCTGCAACAATCTTTCTACTTTAGGTGGATCTGACTGATACTCTACTGCCTTGGAAAATACTGGGCTCAATTTTCTTTCTTTTGTTTCTTCAGCCACCTTAAAAAAAAACAAAAAAAAAAACAGAAAATTTCAGGAAAGTGAAAGCATACTCCTGACAAAGATAAGAGAGGCCTGCGTGAAGCATCTCCATTTCTTCCAAAGGGAGCTCTCGTGATCTCCCCCTGCCTCGACTGAGAAAACAGGCAGATTCTTCCTCACCTGGCCTATGCCTGCCCCGCCCCCCCATGCCTGAACTAGGCTGTCAGGGGGTCCAGAGCTGGGTTGGGACAGTACCCTGAAAATAGGAGCCTCAGGCTTGCAAATGTGCTGGAAATTTACAGGTTCACCTCCAACAGGTGTGCGAGTGAAGAGGCTCCTGATCAGGTTGGAGGGTCCCAGCCACCTCCTTACCATCACTGCTGTGAGTGACATGGCATTACTCATGCTCAGTTCTCACGGGCCTCAGGGCCACTGCTGGTCTATGGAGAGAAACGGTGAGGTACAAAAAGACTCCCCTCCAGGCCAACTCAGCTCCTACATGAGGTCTGATTGGCCCATGAGACACCTACCGTAGCTGACATTCAGCCCCTTTTTCCTACATTCATGGCCTCTGTGCTGGAGGCAAGGCCAAGGACAGCAGCAACAAGCACCTTGATCTGAATTGGCTTTGAGGCCATGGGCTCTGTATCATGTCAGTTTTCCTACAGACTTTTCTCCAGCCTGAGAGGCCCTGAGAGGGGAGAGGGGCATGTTAATTTCCCACTGACGAGGAAGTTGCCTCAGTTTCTCCTTCTGGTGCACCTAATGTTGAGACTAGAATCTATAGCTCCAGTTGTGAGGAAGGAGAGGAGGTAAGAAAGTGAAGGCCATGAGGGGAAAGTTAGCCCACATGTAGACCAAGGATGCTTCCGGACATGGCTTGGGGTCCAGCAGACCCTCTCATCCCCACTTTCACAAACCCTGCTTCCTTGTGCCTGGAGAGCAGAAACCACACCCAGGAGGTGGCCAGCACAGCATCTGGGCCCTCACCCGGGCACAGATTCAGCTGGAGCAGCAGTTTAGGCATGGAAACCTCATGTCCCAGACCATCATATTAAATCAGCAACATTCTTGAATGCCAAGCTAGAGTAACACAAAAGTCACCTGATATAGGACCCACTCCACGGGGAGGGATTCATAAATTACTAAATTCACTTGTGGAAAGTGCCCCCAGGGCACATCAATGGGATGGGACTGCGCCCTCAACACCCCTTCCCCACCCTAAACAAGGATATGAACAGTCGACCACTCTATCATCCTTCACGTCGTAAGCCACTTTATTCCAGTCCCTTGAACATCACAGGCTGGCCTGATTTCAGACAGAACAGACTCCATTTCCAGAGGTCCCTCAACACAGCAATGACAATGAACAGCCCAGCACAGGAGTGACATAAGTTTTTAGGCATTCAGCCTTCTGGGTGCTGTCGAGTCCCTTGGCCACACTCGAGTGCATTGGACCAGACATACAAAGGTCTTCCTGGGAAGGAGAATGAGAAAACAACCCTCAAGAAAATACAGACAGGGTCAATGGCAGGCAAGGACGAGGACTAGTTTCCGCTTTGTTTTCTTAACAGCTGGAGACACGCTCCTCTGCATCTCACTCCAGCTCTAGGTTCTAGGGAACGGACTGCGTCTGGCTCAGTAAGATGTCATGACTGAGGACAGAGCCCAGGCGGGCTTTCCCCAACATTAACTGACTCTGCCATCTAAGGAGAACTAAAGGAGGAATTAGGTCTTCAATCAAGAGCGGGAGAAAGTGGAAGGCAGCTCCTGAACATCACCTACAGAGGTGCCGGGTCCCCTTGCCACTGTGCACGCTGCGTCTTAGGTTAATTCCCTAGTTTTCAAAACCAGATTTTACCACTTGGCCAACGGAGGGACTCAGCAAGTCTCAGTATAGAACCACTGTAAAAAAAACTGACACTCAGAGGAAGATGAAGATTATTTTACTGAGTCCAGGTCTCAAAATTTCACCCTGTCAAGTTGGTTCGTTTTGGTCAACCATACAAATTCAGATTTTTACTATCAGTTTAAATGGAATCGAGTAATACTCAGGAATCTAGAGGTTAGAAATGGGCTCAGCATCATTTTCCTCATGGTTATAAGTTTATCTTTCTGTGGTTCATGGTCTACAGGAAGTAGCTTGGCCGCAGCCAAGGAGACCTCTCTGCCTTCTCTTGCGGCAGGGTCTCCCCGTCTACATCCTTGCGTGTTTGGACTTCCCCATACCTACTGCTTGTGAAAATATAACTTACCTGTGACCAGCAACTTGTACTCTTACCTTTCAATTCAAATTAGGATGTATGAGGTCATCAGACCAAACTGCAACTCAAATTTGTACTGTCACTTCTGTAAATAGAAATTTGCATTCAGAGAACACGATGATGCAAGATACTTTTGGATTCCCAAGGGTGGGCCCTGGAAATCACAGACACACTTGCCTATGCCTTCTTCAGGATGAACCAGATGATGCCCAACCTCTGACTCTTTTCAGGGCCGCTAGAGGCATGGAAAAGTCAACATTCCAGCTATGGCTTCCTAACCATCCATGTGGATTAAAGCATTGGGAAGTCCCGAGAATTTATGCTATTTGGGGTGGGGGTGGGAACAGCTACAGAATATTATCTGCTCAGAAAAGCACCGCACCTCTGATCCAGGACTGTCAACGGGCTGCTGGGCTGGGTGGGCAAACCCACATCTCTAATAAATATGAACCTTCTGGTGCTCCAGTTGACACATCCCACTCAAACTTGCCCCACTTCTATTGCCTAGGCACTACCACTGGAAAAGCATTCAAAATTAAGGTTGGGCCCTGGTCATGGTTACTTTGTACTTTTCTGGAATATATAAAATATACCTGTTGATTGG